GGGTGCTGGGAGGGGTCCTAGGGGCTGGGGCGGGAGGATGGAAGTGAGTGGGGGGCCGAGCAGGGGTGCACGTGCGGGCTGGGCTGTGTCCTCACAGCCCGTGTGTGTGCGTGTGTGTGCACACGTGTCTGTGAGGCCCCAGGAGCTGTTCCCGTGTGACACAGGCATCGGGCATCAGCAGGGTGCCCAGGGCCTCAAGGGGAGCAGTCCGTGGGGTCCTCAGCAGGGTTCCCAGCTCTGCCCCCCCCCCACCTCCTCTCTGAGGTTCTTGTCTGTCCGCAGGCTGGATCCAGCCCCTCGTCCCAGCAGGTTGTTGGGACGCGGGCGGTCCTCTGTCACAGGGAGGGTCTGGACCCCTGCCCCCCACCCCCCAAGCATCCACACGTCGGCAGGCCACCAGGGGCAGAGGCCAGTGAGGGTGGCCTGTCCTCGGAGGCCCTCAGGAGGGACGTTGCGGGCAGCTCAAATCTTCACTGCGACTTGCACCGAAGGCACCAAGCCCCACGGGCCAGACATGCTGGGGGCGCCCAGAGGAGCCTCCGGGTCCCAGGTCCCAGGCTCCCTGGATCGGGCTTTCTGGAAGCCAACAGCTGCAGGGCCTGGAGTCACTTCCAGGCACGGCCCGAAGGAGCCAGCAGTGGGTCTTTGGGGGCCGAAGCGCCTTCTTCTGCTGGTCTGGCACACTGGCCGCTGTGTCCAGCACGACGCCTCTCTGGGCGAGGTCAGGGCAGGGGGCCCAGCTCTCCAGGGCGCTCGGCACCCTGGGACCAGGTGGTGGCTACGGCACTTTCTGGAACTCTGGGAGGCCGCCGAGGACAGGCGTGAGAAGAGTGACAGGGCTACAAGTCCCCGCCGTGTGCAGGCGGTGCTCATCCTGTCTGGGCCCGCACCGGAGACTGGCTGACGGACGCCGTGGGCGCAGTGCTTGGGCCATCGGCTCCCGCGAGGCCAAGATGAGAAGTGCGCCAGTTCCCGGGAGTGCCTTCCCGCCGGCTGCCTTCCTGACAGAGAAGGTTGTAGGTCCAGAGACGCTTTCTAGGCCACGGGGTGCGCTGGGGAACGTGCACCATGAAGGTGCGGGGGCGCCCTGGGCCTGGGGCTGCCTCCCTCTGTGTGGCAGAGGTGGAGATACACTCCGGGGGCGGTCGGCCCTTGCGCTGATCAGGGTGGGAGGGAGACCATGACTTCCAGGAACTCTCGGCCTGAAGCGTGTGTGTGGCGCGAAAACCCGGGGGGCCTGGCGGGACAGCCCCGCCGCACGTGGGATTCACGCAGAGTACAAGGGAGGCCGATCATGCTGTGGACTTGAGCCGGAGCGTCCCCTCCCCGGCACCGTGGGGTCTGCTGACACGGGTTCCTGTGTCCCGCGTGCCCTGTTGGGGTTCACTCTGATGCTCCCC